ATATGTAATTTTCATTAAAAAAATATCAGATTAACAAATGTGAAAGGAAATAATTTGATTATTAACTAAACAATTTTTATAGACGTAACCTTATGCAGTTATTTATCTTCCTTTTTCTAAGCATTTTTAGACTGTACATTTTATGAAAAATTGCCACTTAAAAGAAAGCTTAATTTATTAATGATCTTTGTTAATTAACTATATAAATTTAAAATTCTACTAAGCTTTTTAAGTTGCATTAATTTTCTACTCGTTTTAAGTTTTTAAATGCTTAAGTTTCCTTCTTATTTTTTCAGCAAAAATTTATTAGTTCGTTCAAATATATGAAATATAAAAGTAAAAGAATCCCTCTTTACTTCTTGAGCTCTAGGATCTCTATACGAACATGCATTTGCATCTTACAAAACCAAACGCATGTGTGCGATGTTATCGTCCTGCGATGATTTGTAGGCACTTTACTTTTTACGACGATATTTTTGACGACGATGTTTTTAAACTGCGAAGTTTTTGAACAGCTTTATTTTCGACTACGAAATTTTGTACCACGATGTTTTCTCTTTGCGATGTTTTTTCCCACGATGTTTTGTACCACGACGTTTTCTCCTTGCCTTGTTTTCTCCACGACGCTTTCGTCCGCGATGTTTTCGGCGGACACCGTCTGGGGAGTTCAAGAAAGATGGCAGTAGGCTTTATTTCCTTAAATACTGATCTCAGAGTTCTGATTACAAAGTTTTCAGAAAATTTATGGAAACAATTTCAGTATTGGGCTTGGGAGGAAGTTGTAAAAATTCGAACTTTTTATAATATTCCCTATAGATAGAAAAGTTCAGTAACTAAAATGTTCAATCATGCTTTAACACTTTTGTATCGGTCTGTCTCAGAATTGTTCTTCCTAAACTTCTGAAACGTCCGCATTTACGAATTTCTGTTCGAAATAAATTCTACATTGTAAGAAGTATACTGCCACAAAGTTAACAATTGCCTATTTAATTGAAATAATTCTTTGTTACACAGCGTGCTCATAAAGGCCCATAAGTGGCTTTTATTTTCGCAAATTTTGGTCGCAGACATATATTTCCGGTTACAAAAATATTTAAAATGATGCGCATATTTATGTTTTAGTACATTCTAAAAAACCAGTTTTTTAAAAATTTACTGTATCCTTTTTTTTATCCCAGTATCCCTATATTTATACTAAGTCAATGTTTATACTTCCTCTAAAAAATAAAGCAAAAACATTACTCCTATGAGCCAAAAATTGACTGAGGCATTCAGTTTCGAATTTTGAGTCCTTGAACTTTTTGAAGCTAAACAACAATTTTATCGCTTTCGGTTAAAAAATAAATTAGGTTAATTCGAAATTTTTTCCTATTTGATGTCATTCAGTAGTATTCCTTTGTGATATACTGATGTGAAACATAATTTGTAATTCTGTTACGTTTGATATGCCGCGTCATTTTCCCTTAGAATACATGTCATTTTCCCTTAGAAAGTCCTCCACGAACACATTCCTGCCCTAAAGTAGATAGCCTTGTATGCTTTCCCGCATCTAAATAATCTAACCTATATGGAACTTTTAATTAAATTCCGAACTTTAAACTTAACTTTTCTGCTGGTGCACGACTTCTGGGAGTCTTTACCAGTAATTTTCTTTAGCTGCACTATGTCTTATAGGATTTTTTTTTTCCCAAATCGAGGACACTTGCCATTACTAAGGTCAGAAGTGAGGACCATTTTATTGTGAAGACACCTAATAGGCGGCCACCGTTACCTCCTATGAAGGGACAGACAATTTTACATGCCTTCTCCGGGATTCGAACCCGGTCCCTTTGGTATCGCAGTCAGGCTTCCTTAAACACTATACCGTCTGGGCGGCTCCATTATAGAAGCTTTAAATGTTTCATTCCTCAGTTTATGTACAGCTTTGAATTCCGCATAAAAAGTTAGATTTCGTAATTTTTATGAAACTTATTTTTAAATTTAAAAAATGCCAAAATATTGAAGTTCACCTTTTTTAAAGCGATTTATATTTGGAAGTAATTCCATCTTTTCGAAAAAGAGAAGACTTTCGCGTGCCCTTCATACGCTCAGTAGGTAATAAACAACTCTTCTGGACAACTCCAGTGTTGTGGAAGAAAGCTAGCTATGGTTGCATTTGCGACAGGTAGTTGCTGTCAGCGTTCTGTTGCGTGTTCGTAGCCGCAATATTTTACAACGCTGATGAAGAAATTCGGCAGCTCTGTTTGGCTTAGGAGGCGAAGGATAGAATATACATTAGATCCTCCACAAATTCGACGCCCGATTACTTGATATTTTATATATCTCCACGATCCCATTTTGTTTTAATCGCTAAAATCTGCTGGTCAAGCAGAACATTATCTTTGAAGTAATGTGGTGGTTGTTTTTAATAACTAGACAATAATAATATCTAGTATCACTTATACTTTGCAAACAGTGTAAATACGTTTTAATTAATGTATTATTGTAATTACAGTGTCCGCATGTTTTCTTGTTCTGTTCAAAGCTTTGTTATGGTATTCAGGGGCGTAGCTAGAGGGGGCAAGGGGGGCATCTGTCCCCGGGCGCAGAATCCAAGGAGCGCTAAACTGATGTTATGACATTTTAGAATTAAATGTTTTCCCATCCTTTGCACCCCTAGCTACGACTCTGATGGTATTCCAATTCTGCAGTTTTTGTCTCTTTCCTTTTGTGACACTATTTCTTGAAACCTGTATAATGGATTTGGTGACAAGTTTTATTTTTCTCGTGGAAATTCCGATCTATCCCAGTTCTCTTCTTAGTAACAAGATTGCTGTTAAAAGTGAGATAACCACTGTCGCTTAACACTCATAGTTCTCCATTCTGTTGCTATCTGTTAGCAGATTAATAACTGTGCCCTACTGGAAGCTAAATTTTAGATTCATTCAGGGTAAAGTTTCTCTACTTATATGCAGACTGATAGGTTTTGAGTTGTGTTGTCTGCGCAAATGAAAATATTGACTAAGAAGGAAAGAAGTTTAATTAACAAGTAGTAGAAAGGACAATCAATGCCTAAAGAGACTGGACAAAGACAAAAGCATTCAAAAATTTACCACGGACTTAAACGTTTGACGGAATATTTTGAATTGTAAATAGCGGATCCCTTCTTCCCTAAAACTCGACATCTTGTCAGTCCGCATTAGTTCGAGTCTACCGGACTCTACTGTACTTCTGGGAATTTTTCTGGAAGGAACGTATTTCTCGGAAAAGTTTCTTATAGGGTTGATCTGACAAAGGTTTAAGATCAGGACGAAAGAAAGAAGGGAAGCTGTGACACTAAGTAATAAAAGAAAGTCTACTCCCGTAAGACAGGTACTCTTAACGAGAAAAGAAAGGAGAAATGGGGAAGATTGACAAGTCAAGTAAAACTGATTGTAAGACAAACAACGTTGAATTCATGCAGATTTTATGAATGAACAGTCTTTCATTTTAATTTCAATGAAAGATTGTTCATTTAGTTAGAACTGAAGAAGAGGATAAGTGTACCACGCTTTAGTATGACAGGGTAAAACTCTAAGCTTGGGCGGTAGCCTAGAAGAGGGTGGGAAACTAACAATAAAAAGTACTGACGAAAAAAAAAAGGGGGAAAAGTAAAACGACGCAAGGAAAAGTTAAGGAGAAGAACACTTCTCAGAACATGTGTAGCATGCACTTCCTGTATTTATTTATTTCAATTTTTCGTTCCGAGATTCGTATCAAAATTATATCTACGTGATAAAAATTGCTTTTAAATATATTTCATTAAATATAATGAGCCTTCTCGTGGGGGGGCCATTTCTGTAAAATAACCAGCCCTGGAAGCTATCGGTATTCCCGAGAATTTAATTTGATTGGACGCTGATACTGAATATTAAACCTCTAACGCCAGCAGCATGACAAATAATTAAAGTCATCTAAAACGGGTCGGTCGACTGAGAAAAAGTTTGTTTTTTAAATCAAAGGTAATAAAATGTTTTATAAACTATATTCAAAAGCATTTTTATTCCATAGTTGTAATTTTTACGTAATACACTGAGTGCACATTATGTATAGAACAGAGTGCACATTAAATTATTGGTCTATGCTTCTCATCAGACTACTAGTAAATATTTAAAGCGCAGTTTAAATTATTATTAAAACGTTTTAAAAAAATAAATTACTGTTAAAAATAGACTAGGATTATACTCTCTACGATGACCAACCGCAGTTCGAGACGATACTTCTCGTCTGTAGATGGGATCGGTTTTGAGAGCTAGCACTGAAAACGATGCTTAGTTATATGCTGCTCACTTTTACAGATGGTATCTTAGGGAAGTAGTTGCTAATACAAGGTTCGTAGCGTAATAAAAATGCAAAAAAGAAGCACTTAAGTATACTTAAGTATACTCTTTAAATTGATCACGAACAGTTCCAGATTTAACGCCTTTTCAAACATTCTGTAAAAAGCTTGCATTTTAAAAACTTTTAAGTAAAAAAATGAAATTAAAATTTAAAAAAATGTATATTTTTATTTATTTATTTTTGTTTTTATTAAGTCTAGAAAGCCAAACTCGATTTGATTTGTTGATGAACTAATCCAATTATTATAAAAATAATTACAAACAGTGCAGGTCGGAGCTCTGAAATTTGACTGCGATTTAGAGTTTTAAATAGCTTACAATCACTGGCGACATACGCAACTGCAAAAGTATTTTATGTAACAGAAAAACAAGGGCATTGTTTCCCCATTCTTTCAGACGCGTTTGAATTTCTTTTTTTTTTTTTTTTTTTTTTTTTTTTTTTTTTTTCTCGTGTCTAACATTTTGATATCATAATCTTAACAAATCAGCAAAGGACAAATAGTAACAACGCAAACGACCATGGGGGGGAGGAGGAAATAATTATCTAACGGGACAGATGGAAAGTGCAGATTACAAAAGGTAGCAGTAATACAATGCACGAAAGAAAAATATAATCCAGTGTTCATTTAGGTTTACTCACATTGCTGTCTAAATCTTGAATAAACTGAATTTCGCGTTTTTGACTAACCAGTAACCATAAAAGTCCCCTTTCCTAATGTATTGTATTCTGGGTACCTGGACGTGTTGTTGTAGTGGCTGTCTGCCCTTCGAACCACGTGCCATCTTGGCTTTTCAAAAGTACCGCTGTTTCCTCTTCGCCTTGTGTCAACGGGAGATAATGTGGTACTTTGCATGCGATTATTTTTCTCGATAACATTATGAGACTGCGAACACCTGTAAGTCGAAATACCATCGGTCGTGCCTCCTTCCTACCTCTAATGCATTTTCGACGTTTTCTGGATTGGAGTGCCAATTGTTGTGAGTTATGGTCTGTGGACTAGTGTCAGTGGTGCCTGGTGTGGTCATGCCTTCCTTGGATTTCTTTCAAGTGCTTTCCTCTGACGAACTCTCGTGGCTCGATAAGGCGGTATGGATTTCAATTTTTTCCTAATCTCTTCACTTGTATACATGTATTAATTAACATATCCCGTTCCTGGTAGAACATGCATTCGAAGTTATGGTATGAATGGAGCCTAAAATAAAATTACTTATACAAAAAACTTATAAACTATATTGTGTAAAATGTAACTAGATTGTGTAAAATATACACAATTTAATTGTGTATATTTCTGTTTTTGTTTCTATTTTAGTTTTTAATATGAAAGTGCACATGGGATTTATAATGTCTTAATTAACATATCCTTAACTGTGGAATATATATTCAAATTTTAATTTCCGATGTGATGTGAATGAAACTTAAATAGATTTTGTGTAAAGAAAATGTTTGATAAATATAGATATTTTATATTTTAATTTAACTGTGTATAATTTTGTTTTTATTTTTAAAAGCAATGCATATACTGATTTGATCAAAATCATTAGTATTCAATAGTAGTTTAGATTGTTTATGAAATACTTAATTCAACTAACTAGGACAGTCAAGTCTTCATTTAGAAATTTTAATTCATGCTTAACTAAGCAAAACAAACACGTTATTTTGTATAAATAAGGTAGGTTGTTTAGAAATTCCTTCATATTAAAGCAATATAGACATCTGTATAGTCTACTTTAAAATCTTAGAATGTCCATTTAAGAGATGGTTATTTTTTGAATGGTCATTTGAAATTAGTAAAACACATGAGGGCTAACTGGCTAAGGGAAGGATAGTTCGTGAAGAATCGTCTAAAAAAAGTTCCTGAATTCACGTTATACATGGTGAAATCCATAAAGACCAACCATGCAGCTAACTGCTTGGTTTAGACCTCGGATCAAATTATTAGCATTCAACAATCTTAACCATTCGCCCACTGGTGGGGTTCCATTTAACAGTATGGTGGTTCGAGTTAAACCAATAAAGTCCGAAGTATTAATGTCTTTCAAAGTTTAAGATTTATTCCCTCACTTTTCCTCTTTATATAATATTTTCGTATATTTTACTTGATAATTTAAAAAGAAACGTGAATTTCAGCATTTAATTTGCATGCATAAAATTCTTCTTAACATTTTGATTGTTTTTATTTCTCCAAATAGACTCAGGCCCACCAGCGGCCGAGCGGTAAAGTCGCTGAACACTGGTAGTTTGGCCCGAGGTTCGAGTCGGGCTGGTTGCAAAAGCGTTTTCGTGGTTTTCCCATATGTAACGTGTATACGAGCCAGTTTGCCTTAGAAAGCCCTTCACGAAGGCAGATAGCCCGTTTTTCTATAATACCATGAACGGGAACTAAATAGGCCCAACAGCGACCAAGTTCGACCCAGTTTCAAATCCGACTTGCATAAAAGCTTTCGTGGCTTTCCATATGTGTATATGGCTACGAGCTAGCTCCCTTAAAAAAAACATCTATGAAGACATCGTTTTCCTTAGGCAGATAGCATTTCGAGTGTTTTGCCATATTCTAAATAACCCAATCAAGTCGTCCCTCAAATGAAGCAAATTATTTTTCATTTAAATTCTTTCTTACCTTTGTGTACTACATTGCATACCCTTAATATTCTCCTAATATTTTCATGTTATTATCTTATAATTTGAAATCGTGCACTTATTATTTCCATATATTGCAGAAACTCTCTTATATTCAGAAAGCCCACCAGCGATCGAGCGATAAAGTCGCTGAACACTGGTACTTCCCACCAGGGTTCGATTCCAATCGAACGGGCTGGCTGCATGAATGTTTTCGTAGTTTTCCTCGTGTGTAACGTATACTACGAGCCAGTTTTCCTTAGAAAATCCTCCACGAAGGCATCTCTTCCGTTAGACAGATAGCCCTAGCGGGCTTTGTCGTGATCTCAATAAACTTATGTTCAAAATATATCTATGAATTTTTTGGGGGTAAAAAAAGCTGTCTTTATCATACTGTATACGCAGTATAATATTTATCACGTATTATGTTAAGCCTCACAACGATATTATATTTAATGTAAGAGTGAAATTTACTTTTAATTGCAATTTAGCAATCATCGTACGTAATACATAAACAAAATTTATCGTAGTCAAATTCTGAATACTAATATGAAAGAGAAATATTTTATTTCTAATTAATGACTTTTCTTTCATCCTAATAAGTCCTACATTGTTAATAAGCAATTTTAGTTCATTTTTTTAAAAAAGCTTTAAATAACCTCGAAAAAATTGAAACGTAATTAGATTATTTTGGATTAAGTTGCAGAACTTTTTTTTGATTTTACAGAGAATTATTTAAAAACCATGAAACACGTAAAAGATATAGAATTAGCATATCGACATATTGTATGCTAATTCAGATAAACTAATACAAACAATAAGAAGCCAATATCTGCAACTAACATGAAAGATAAACACACCGATTAATGAAAGCTCTCTGTTAATGAGTTAAGGAAAATAATAACAAGAAGAAAAAATTAAACGAAGAAAGTAAGAAAATCATATTTTTTAAACCTAAGCATTGTTTTCTGCCGTAGATTTAGATATAACCTAATTAGTTGCAGATATTGCAACAATGTCATGACAATTATTAGTGGAAATTCATTTGAAATATTAAAGACAGAAAATAAAGAAATAAACTGCACTGTGATTTAATTCACATTCCATGTTAGCCCCTGATATAAGAAAAATGCTAGAGGTTAATTTAAAAAAATCATGTTCCCCTAACAAGAAAGAAATATACTCTCTGTCAATTTATATATATATAGATATAGATAAATATGTGTGTGTGTAAGATATGAAATATGAAAGAAAATTACCAAATTAGAAAGAGTCCTTTTAATTCCTGATTTAACTTTAGCTGAGTCCTCTTCCTGGAGTCTAAAGTGCGTCATATCTAAAAACTAATCCGCATTATGTCATCTTTGATACTGCAGTGCGGTAAGCTTTTGTCGATCGCAGACCAGAATTTAAACAAAGGATTCGACGTTATAAATATGCTTTGCTGAAATGGGCTTACTTTTTTTGCAACCCGTAATTTGTACTTGCTTTTTTATGTTTTAGGCACCAGCTTAACAGTTTTTTATATTTTTACTTAATTTTTGTGATGCGGTTGTTGAAATTTTAGGGGGGGGGAATTACTGTTTTTCTGATAAATAAATTTCATCCATAAGTTGCTTCCTTAAACAATTTAGGAACTTTTAAATGTATGGCACTTAATTTTCCTGTCTTCCTCTTGCTGTGCAACCCCGTGTGCTGCTTACCTTCCGTTTCATCTATTGTTGTATAGGGAATTGTGGGATACTTGTCACATCCATAGTGATGCGTAAACCAAGGATATTTGTCCTAAGAAATTATTCAAGATATGAAATTATATGGTAAATCTGCGGCTACTTTTGGTTTCTAAATTCCATACCTCTGTTATGCATCCTATCTGTATGTCAGCAACATCTACAACCATTTCGGTCATGACTAAAAAATGACTGTGTCTTTTCTCCACGCACCCTAAACTGTTGCTATCTCCAAATCCTCAAGTTATCATCTACAAAATTATCAGATATATATCTACTCACATGAAAAAGCAGTGGATCATGATGAAACTAGTCAACGGCATGGGGAGATAATGAAGAAAATATGAGAAAGATTGAAGAAGCAGTAACATAATTTATTGCAGCATGAGCGGTTCAGAACAATTCCAGATTAATATAATGTAACGCTTCTTCGGCCATCGATGCGAAAATGCAGTCTGGAATAGACGCATACAAAAGTCTAATACTGTCTTGAGAGATGTTCCGCCGAAGTGGGTGTAACTGACCAGCTGGGTCAGATACATTTTACGATGGCTAAAGTCTGCAGTCAACCGTATCCCAAACATGTTCATTGGGAAGGGGAAGAGTATCGATCGGGACGGCCATGGAAGGGTCGCCTTGTTGGGAAGAAAATACGTAGTGTTCCGTTATTTTAAGCTAAACCAAGTAAACTTAAAGAAGCCCACATTCTACATTACGTAAGGATTATTAGGAAAAATTATATGCAAATATTTACTTAAATTACGTACAAGAACAGTAATTACTACACCCATAGCATTATCGAGACACAATCCAGAGAGGTTATTAAGGTAACCACACGCATTCCAGAAAGGTCTCACTAGTTCTAAGTTCGCAAGGTGGCGCTATACGAGTTTAGTTAAGAATTCTGCTGTCTATAATATGTAGGCCTCTCTGTTCTAAATGTCAATCTAATCCACTTGGTTGCGATACTGAAACTATGAGTCGCAACCCACCAGTGACTCAGGAGATAATTTTTGGTGGGTAGCAAAAAGTTTTGAAATACTCTTTTGCTTATTTTTTAATTATAAATATTTACCTATAATTACAGTTTTATTTACACTTACAAATTAATTGTTGATACTTACAAATGTTAATTATTATTTCATTAATACATTCTTTCCTTCTACGAATCTTCTTTTTCTCTAGAGCAACTTCATCTATGTGGTCGCGAAAAATCGCTATATACATGCGTATCGCGATGAACTGTATGCATTTAAATCCAGAGGTTAGAAAGTTTGAGAATGACTGCGTTTGTTAAAGCAGACAAAATTTGATTAACATTCTCTTGCCCTCTCGACTGGCGCCTACCATTTTCTCTCCACGGGATTGTGTTGACGTAGGAAAGTTTTAAGAAATTCTGTAGCTCGAGTAATATAACATATGGCATCATAAAACTCTTTTATTGATTATGTCAATGATATAAATGTTGATAAAACTTGCTATTATCCAAAATATTATTCAAGTACTGCATCTTGTTGTTCATGTGACCTACTTTGATAACAAATATACCATCATAATTTGGGTGATAACAGCACTTTGTTAATCAAAATGCTAGATTGATAAGAGTTACCTATTTTGAGGATACGAAATTTCCTTCATAAATTGAAACTAATAACGCATAAAAGGAATTTAAAATGCCTGTTTAGTTGATTATGATAAAACTTGCAAGCGCTGTCTACTTACGAGGAGGGATGCCTTCGT